TCAACTTTCAACTCCTAACCGTTTGGGCTCTGCGCTTATTATTATTATCATTATTATTATCAACCCGTCTCGATTATATATATAGATGCAGAAGTGATGAGGAGGATGGAAAGATTCTAACCACAATTTTAAACCAAATGTCAAATTCGATCGTTAAAAATAATTAGCGATGTCCAAGTTTAATTTGTATCAATGATGATTAAACATTTTAAACATATTTTGTGACGAAAAAGTGAAAACTCTTTATTTCGTTTTCTTTTTTCAACGCTGTTAATCATTTATCGCCCGTCATAACTTCGTTGTTCTCAATTAATTTAGAATTTTTGCCAATTAATGCAATTAAATTCATTTATGATAATGATAATTGCCACAATTTCTATCATTAATGTTACATCTTGTAAATACAGAGGATTAATGAGGGTTAGATTGCCAACGCGTGTATTACTGTCTTGCCACTCGTGTAAGCCAATTTCAGTTTGAATATTTTGGATTAATTGCGTGCAGCTTTGGCTTCACTCAGGAGCGGATCTTGGTTTCTCCGGGCCTAGGGTTTATTAAAGTCCAATAGGGCCCCATTTTTACCCGACCTAACCTAACCTATTAACTATTTTTTACTATACGATAAGTGCTCATTGTCAATGAAAAAGTATTAAACATTTATGCTAATAATTCAATTTTTGTGCGCCCAGGGCTTAAGCCCTATTAGTCCCTATGTAGATCCGCCCCAGGCTTCACCCATTCTACACGTTGGACACGCTCGAGGACTATTGAGGAAGTCCGTGGGTGTTCCGGATGATGTGAGTTCTCCGAGGAATTGGCAGAAATCTACTAGTTTGCGAATCCTCCAATGTCGATTTTGCTTGGGACCTTCTGTATTTCGGCTGAAACCTGTCAATGGAAGCCACCGTGTAAATATGTAAACGTGGCGCTTGTTTCATAGAACAAGTTGATTGATTGTATAAAGTATATGAGGATATTTCTGACGAAACTGGATTTGTTCCATTAATAAAAATTTGGCAGAATCATCCATCAGACTGTTGATGTTATTAAGAAATGTCTAATTTGAATGTGTGAGAGTACAGGGGGGCGATTAACAACGCGCTCCCTATCGGAACTCGAAGTCCGCTGGCGTTGTCTAAGGATGGCTATATCGAGTGAAAGTGAAGATCAAGATCGTGTGATCTCCATCACGTCAGGATGCTGACACCAGTTAAACGATTATTTCGCGGTTTAACTCGCGATTTAATTACTATTGCTATTTCTAAAAGGAGGGCTAAATTATTTCGAGTGGGGAGTGCGTAGGCAAGTGATAGGATGTCTGGCCATTTACAAATCAAAGACACTCAGTTAACAAAGGAATAACAACATTTAATAATACAAAATAAAATAAAAGCAGTTTACAAACGGACTATTCCAAACTTAAATCTATCTTAACTATCCTGTCCCTGATATGAGAGAGAGAGAGAGTTTACAAATCTGATATATTACCTCATTTATAATGTGATTGATAACAATTCTGCACTTTGGGCGCAAGTTCTTTCCAAAAAAGTATGGCACAAGTTTACATTATGGAAGATACGACGGTGTGCGCGGATTTTGGTGCGTATCCCTCTTTTATACGTTTTTTTCCTTCAATGGATGTTAAAAGGTCATCTGACAGAGTATCGTGATGAATCTTTTTGCTTTTAGTCGTGGGAGATAAAGATCTCTCTCGGGAACTGACTGTCATCGCAGGAAACATTTGTTTCTTGTTCTCTTTGAATTTTAGCTTTGATAAAAATATCCAAAACCTGCTTGTTTTTTGCTGGTTTATTATGTAAATTTTCAGTGTTAGGTTTTTTTCAGTTAGTCAGTCTTGTCTTAGTTTAGGTCTAAGTTATATACTTCTCTTTTTGTAGTTAATTAGGTCTTTGGTGTTTAGTTTCCTCTATAATTTTGGTTTTTCTCAGTCAACCAGTTTTCGAGTTTTTCGGGTTTTCTCGTTTTATTGCATTGCAGAATTTTTTGGTTTTTTATGTTCTTCAGCCTTTTCGGCTGTAAGTTCAAAGTTATGCCTTACTAGGCCAGTTTCAACTTCCTAGCCGTTTTCATAACTTTTTCGGTATTAGTTAGTATTTTGGCTTTTTCCTGGTTTCTGTTTTTTTGTAGTTAGTTTTCCCTTTGTAATTCGTTCCCTTATTAGGTACTTTGTTCCCCCTGTTAGTTTTTGTCTTTCTAGGCCACCCCATTTTCGTGTTTTAGGTTATACTTTTTTCAGTATTTTGGTTTTCAGTTCTGTTCTTTTCCTTGGTTTTAAGTTATAAGTTATTAGTTTTAAGGTAGTTTAAATAGTATAAGGGTCATTCTAGATGGCGTGTCCATCTACTTCTGGAAACACTGGGGCCGAGAGCTCCATGCTCGGATGTCTCGTCCGTCTGCGAAAAACTTAGGGAAATCCTGGACGTTGTTCTAGTTAACTGTCCAGAAGAATGCAGCTCTGCTGTTTGCAAAGAACACATAATCAAAATTCGTGAAGCCGCTGACGATCTGTTTTTTTTAGTGGACAAGACTATCTGTGCATCGGCTCACCGTCCCAATAATGATGTCAACATGTCAAACAGTTTAATCAGTGAAGCGGTTTCCAAATCTATAGCAGATAGTGCTAGTCGCATTCAACAAGAGGTTTCCGAGATGTTGGATCATTAATATCAGTAGATAGCAAAATAAATAAAATCTTGGACACTGCACAAACCACTATTCTTACAAGTTTACCGACCTCCTCTTACGCTGGTATCGTTGCTAGGGCTAACACAACAAACACGAAAGTTATATAAAACAACCACATTCCACTGCTGACACTGACGCTGTTCTTGTGTTTCCAAAAGACATTTATGAACATTAACCAGGACGAAATTAGAAATACACTCACGACAAACATAAAACCGAGCCAGCTAGGAATTTCTGTAAAAGCTCTACGAAAAATTAGGAACAATGGAGTTTGAATTCAACTAAATACAAAAAGTGACAGCGACAAAATGGTGGCTTCCATTAACTCAGTAAAAGCATTAACGGATAGTTTAGATATCAAATACTCAGCAGCCAAACAACCGAAGGTTATTCTGTTAAATGTCCCGGGCGACACTGTCACTAGCGACTTCATTGAAGAACTATACAACCAGAATACTGCAATAAATACTACACATACTCTTCAGGAATTCAAAGACTCTTGCAGTGTTCATTCCAAGATAAACCGCAACACGACAGACACTTGTAGATTACATGTCCTTCAGGTTACTTCTAGTATTAGGAACACGCTAATGCAACAGCAGTATGTTAGTGTGCAATGGGCAACGATAGCAGCAGACGATTACATCCCTCTCACACGCTGTTACAAATGCTGTGGTCACGGCTATCTAGCTAGTAAATGCACACTAAAACAACATTGTAGTCACTGCATGGGCAACCATAGCTACAAGGTTTGCCGCATCCACAGTCAGGAACTGTACTGTGTAAATTGTGCAAAGGCCAATAACACTCTACCAGAGGGAAGCAAATATAAGACCGCGCATAACGCATTCGCTCAACAGTACTCCATAACCAAATGCAAGAAAACACAAGCTGCCAGTGGGGTCAGCTATGAATAATACACCCCTTCACAATATGAACACAGGCAGCTATAAAATCATACAGATTAATGCACAGATTTGCAAACCGGCCTGCTCCCTCCTCATTCACACTTCCAGCATACATGATACAGACATCATCATGATCTAAGAGCCTACACTATTAACAACGTGATAGTCAGGTTCAATGACTGGAAAGTCTATCCAGCTCAGGACCCTGGCTATCGCATCAAGGCTAGTATTATCATCAGGAACAAAAACATTACCGCCTGCCTTGTCTCCCAACACACCACAGAATACACTACCACCGTCTGTGTTACAGACAATAACACTCGTCTTTATAAAGGTTCTGTCTACATTCCAGACAACGCTAACATTGAGACAGCCATAGAAGACATTCATAACCTCCTGAACTGATACAAAGATAAAACTATCCTAATAGGAGGTGACTTCAATGCCAAGTCTGTGATCTGGCATAATCCAAAAGATGGCCCTAGGGGTAACATAGTTAACGAAACCATGGTCCAACAGAGTCTTACTCACTTGAACACAAGCACCCTTCTGACCTACTCCTTTACCACGGGGAAAAGTTAGATCGACCTAACGTTAGGAAACAGTCACATCACACCTAGGGTTGACCACTGTTACAGAAACCGCTCAATCAACCAAAGACTTCAGGCCTATCAGCCGTTACCTATTTTGGGAAAAATTCTGGATAGACTAGTGATTAACAGAATCTTAACTCATCTCAGGAGAAAAAAGGCCCTTAGCCAGGACCAACATGGCTTCACTCCAGGCAAATCCACAATAACAGCAATTAACAGTATTATGGATTACATAAATAGAGCTAAAAAGAAATGCCAGGCACACCCTTCATGTATCAATTGATTTTAGAGGGGTGTTCAACAACTTGTGGTTGCCTGCCATATTATAGCAACTCCAACTTATTTTATTTAATTAAAAGCTTCATGACCGATAGGAAAGTGGGCTTCTATAATAACAATATCAGTTATACACGTCAAGCCACATTGGGTTGCCCTCAGGGCCCTGGGTTGTGGACAATTGTCCACCATGACCTACTCACCACTCTCAATAATTCTGAAGGAAATCATCTACTACAGTGCTACGCCGATGACACGGTTGTATTAGTATCAGATAAGAATTGTGACAATCTTCCTACACTCTGTAATGAATTGCTGACAAAGATCTCAAATTGGAGTAAGAAAGTTAAACTGCCCATAAATCAATGAAAATGCTCGTATATAATATTTTCTAGAAAGACCCCATTGCAACGCAGCCGCGCATTAAAATTGATGGTGTCCGGATATCTAGAGTCTCTGAAATCTTGTATTTGGAGTTAAACTACAACAACAACTGCAGTGGACAGGTCATATAGAAATGGCTGTAGCAAAAACAGTTAAGATATCGAATGCATTTATCAGTATTGCTAAAAACACTTGGGGAATTGGCAGTAGAGCAGCCAAACTGATTTATCTTGGGGTAATTGATCCCATCATTCTTTATGCTGCTCCTATCTGGGCAAAGGCCTGTTCAAGAATTAACATTCAAAAGAAATTATTTGAAGCTCAAAGGGTGGTGGCCCTTAGAATTTGCACCCATTTCTGCTTTATTTGTCTAGCAGGATTGATACCCATTCACATCAAGGTCGGAATGGTAGCTAGTAACTGGAAATTTAGTAACCTGTTTGATAATGAAAATCCTCTGAACAACAACAACAAAAATATCTCAGATTTTCCCTTTCAAAGAAGATATTTTTAAGTTTGGTATAGAACAAACAAATGTCGACTTAAGTGTGGAGCAGGACTATCCCCAACTAGATAGCATCGCTTCGAGTCAAGACCAAAACAATGATATCTCAATTTATACAGACGGGTCGAAGCAAGAAAACTACGTGGGCTGCGCTTTCATTTTATATCACCACCGAAATGGTTCGTCTCACAGATCGGCCTATAAACAAAGTCCTCATTGTTCGGTGCAGCAGGCAGAAATTCTGGCATAGCCAAAGCTATTGAACGTGTCTACTTAAATCTTATAATTATCTAAAATATACAGTATTTTAAGAGGAATATTTTGTTTTACCAGAATGCGTTGAGACATTTTTAAAAAGTAAATTACAGTTTATAAGTTCAATTAAAATCGTTATTAATTGTTTTCCTGTTGCAATTATTTATTCTTACGGACAGGAAAAGGTGACATTATCTATCAGTAGACGAATTAAATAAAATATTTAAAATTTTGTTAACGGTTCCTTAAAATATTTTTATAAATGATCGAATTTAATTAGAATTAATAATGATTAACGAGCAAATAATCTTTAAACATAATTTTAAAAAGTAGTAGCGGGCAGAGGTGCATTATCCTATGCGCAAAAAGAGCAATCGCCTGGGCCCCGCACCAATCTTTTATAAGAAAATATTTCCCTCCGAGAAAAATGTCTGAAGTCAACACTGTACTGTGCATTAGGAGTGGCGCTTCAGTCGGTTCCCAGTGAGCCACGGTGGTATTGAATTTTGAAGCAGAACTTTTGCCACAGCCTTTTGTCTCTTTGTGTGTATCACACAAAGATGTACGTAACTGTCATCTATTTGTTCTTTTTCAACATTTTTCAGAGTTTTGTACTTTTTATGTTTTTTTAAATTCCTTTTATTCATTACAGCGCAAAATAAAATGACCAAAAGAAGCGCAGAAAGTGATAGTAGGCGTGAATTTAATAAACAGTGGGAAAATGAGTTATTATTTATAGCAAAGTCATGGGAAAAACCGTTTTGCATTGTTTGTGGAAGTACTTGTTCACATGATAGAAGTCATGATCTTAATAGACACTATAAAACGCAGCATCGGACTTACGTAGAAGAAAAAATGAAGTTTGTTCTTGGGTCTGAGCTGCAAAAAAATATGTGACCAAGAGAAAGGAATAAATCAGAAGACAAAAAAATATATTTGTTAAAGTAAGTTGTGAAGACTTAGCAATGACAAAAGCGTCGTAGGAAATTGCTTTAGCGTTGACGAAAAAACTTTTTTCTGATGGAGAATAAATTGTCTCCAAATATTTGCGCGCCTTCTTGATAATAAAGGTATCGAAAGGAAAGAGGACGAAATTGCTATAGCGAGGCAGACAGTTATGAGACGTATCCAGGAACTCTCTCGGGATGTGTCCCAGCAATTGGAAAACCTTGCTCATTCTCGTACTTTCTTTTCTCTAGCTTTGGATGAATCAACGGACATATCCGATGTTGCGCGGTTAAACATTTTTATAAGAGGAATTAATGATAATTTTAATATCTTTGAAGAACTTGCCAGTCTGGAGTCATTGCGTGGTAAAACAAGAGAATCGGACATATTTGAAAAAGTAAAATCGTGCCTAGAAAATCTAAAATTAGATTGTGGCAAACTCATTGGTGTGTGTACTGACGAAGAGCCATCAATGACAGGTAAAGTCAATGGCACTGTAACTTTGCTCGAAAATTTTTGAAATCGTCCTATACTAAAATATCATTGCATTATACACCGAGAGGCACTGTGTGCCAAAACCTTTAAATTTGCAACGTGTTACGCTATCGGTTGTGAAATGTGTGAATAAAATTAGAGCGAGAGCATTAATTTAATTAAACAGACGAGAATTCGGAGAATATTGCGAATTGTTAGATTTGGAATATGATCTTAACCTTCATTGCGAGGCTTTCTAGACAGCAGTCTGAGTAGCTTTTGGAAATTAAAAAAAGGTGTTTCTAGTTTTTTAGAACAGGAAAATGAAATACCCGATGAATGAACCCTATTACTATAAGGTCTCGTTTTATGCGGTGGATACGTTCTACAGAAAACCGCATATAAAAAATTCGCATAAAAAAAGACTTTACTTGCCTTGAAAAAAGTAGGGATAGGTTCCGTAATTTTCTAAAATCGCATAAAACCAAAACAACGCATAAAACCAAAACAACTACTTATTATAAAAATTAACAAAACACCGCTAAAATAAAATTTAATTTCAAAACAATTACAGTTTATACCTTTCAATGCGAAACTCAGAATGATGTAATAGCGACTTGTCGATGGTATCATGTACAAGGGGAATCCCCGAATTGCAAAAGCTCACTCTAAAAACAAATCACTGACATCTGGATGTGAAGAGTTAATTAAAACCCCTTTAGTTCCTCGCCTGAGTTAACTCGGGCAGGTTACATAGCGTTACATAAAACACGGTCCTTAAAGCCATTTTTGAAATTTTTTTTTGAATTTTTGGAATGTTTTTTAAGTCTCCAAATTTTTTAAAAATATTTAAAAATATACGGCCAGCTAGTGTTCACCCTACTTTAAACCCTTGTCCTCCCGCGATGTCTATGAGAATGCCCCGGGAAATCCAACTCCAGCTGTGTTCAAAGTCATCCAGATGTGTAAACAATGACTCATCGGTGTTAAATTTCACAGAAGGGCGAGACAAAGGAAATTAAACTTTGAAGCTTTTTCTTCAAAATTAACGCATTTCTTTCGTTTTTTTCAGTTTTAAGTATTTTTTATGTTTAATTACATTTATATTACAAATTGCTAGGAACTACAGCGATTAAGGTAGATCTAGCTGTCCTTTACATCCATAAACGTTATATGTCAGTGGAACAAATGGAGCGTTCCACAATTTTTGGAGACTGTCTATAGGCGGGCTTTCTAAACAAGCCTGTATGTATGTTTGTCCAAGAAATTTTTGGATGAAATACAAACCGCACAACTTCAAAATCGCATAAAAATAATCCGCATAAAAAGAGACCTTACAGTATTTGAAAACAACTGGCTATTTGATTTGGCATGTTTAGTTCATATTACTAGCTATCTCGATGATCTAAATTTAAAACTACGAGGCGCGAATAAATTATTTCTTGGCTTAGTAAATAGCATCAGTTCACTTGAAATGAAATTAAAACCGTTCGTCTCTCGGTTAGAAAATGAGGATTTGAGTCAATTTCCATGCTCGAAAAAGCGGAGTGAATGTGCTGAAAATAATGGCAATTTGATCAAATATATTGAAAAAATCAAGAAATTGCGAAGGACACTTGAAAGTCGTTTTCGTGATTTTGCTAAAGAAAAAACTGCATTCTCGCCTTTATAAACCCATTTTCACTTAGTGAACAAAACGTAATGCGGATGCCTAGTAACGTACAAATGGAACTGATTGATTTAAAAACAAATTCATTCTTAAAAATAAAATTTCACGAGCTTTTTCCAGATCATGATCAAAATGCTTCCGACGTAATTAATTTCTGGTGTTCATTACCATTCGAACATTTCCCAGAGCTAAGAAAATTTACAAAAAATTATATAGGCTCTATGTCGCTTTGGAAGGACATACAGATGTCAATGAAATTGATTAAAAGCGAAACGAGGTCGCGAATAACCGATTCCAATTTGAAGAATTCTCCGCTGCTCTCAGTAACAAATTTAACGCCAAACATTAAAAGACTAGCGAAATCCAAACAGGCTCAAAAGTTTCATTAATGGTAAGTAATGCTTATGTGCTGTAATAGATATTGTTTTACATACAATAATTAATTTAAAAAGTTAATTATATCTATAAACATACTTCTATTAAAAAGGTTATTAAACATACGCCGGGGCCAGGACTCCTTCTAGCCAGCAGAGAGAACAGACAAATCCAAGTTCCGAGCTGATCTGGCTCTCAGTGCCAACAACTTTGGTGGAGCTATCTTCACCAAACGAGACTCTGGCAGCTATAGCACCATCATCGAGCGATCACCCTCTCGTACAGATCATTCCTGACTATTGTAGATTGCTGCTTCATTAAACTGACGTAAATTAATTAATTTAACTGCGTGATTAAGTTATTCTTTTTTCCTCCTCTAAGCGAAGCAGATTCTATCCTTATCTCTACTTACCAACCCCTAACCACGAACGTAAGACGGTATAAAAAGTGCTCGAGTTATATGGCGCATCCGAACTCGTTTGTCAAAAAAGTGGCGCATGGTACGCGAAAGGTTGGCCACCTCGCTGTGCATAATGCCTTCTAATTCAAATTTGTCTGATTATTTCATAATCTTTAAGATTGCTTTTTATTAATTAATAAGGAAATATTATGTATAGTAGGAACTCGATTATCCGAATTGGCATTAAAAACTCTAGAACGTGTAGTATTATACATATCAGAGAGTATAATACACAGAGACCGAAATTACTACTACGTCATCTGTCGATTGTAGGTCCACGAAACTTGGTCGTATACGTAACCTTTTGTTACAATTTGAGTAAATTTACTTTTAAGTACTGTACAGTAATTGCATTACAGTATTTATGGTTCACGAAACTTTAAACGTACTGTACAGTGCTCGGTACATCCAAAACTTAGTGTCATCAAGATCGGATTATCGAGTTTTTACTGTATTTCATTTGCTGCAAAAAAAAAAATGGTTAAAGGGACAGGCTCTAACCTGGCCCATTCGAGCTCTCAACGGCCCTGCTGGACACGAAGAAAGTGTAGTGTAGTATTAAACGTCATAAATGCCACGTGGCATGCCACTTTATTTGGCATATTTTACAAATATCGTGCTACCTAGTCTTGTGCCGAGATGACACGAGTTTTAAAAATTAAAAGTTAGCAGTGTAAAGAAAGATCTGAAATTTTTAATTTTAATAGATACAAAAAGCAGTCAAATAGGTAGACTGACTAATAGAAATGTAAGTTTTCATATTGCCACACTCAATAACCTAATTTTAATTTTAAGCAATACGTTTCCTTTTTAACCCGTTGCGTACAAAGACATTTTTTATATTAATGTAATTAAACATAAAAAATACTTAAAAATACATAAAACTGAAAAAAAACGAAAGAAATTTTGAAGAAAAAGCTTCAAATTTTATTTTCCTTTGTCTCGCCTTTCTGTGAAATTTGACACTGATGAGTCATTGTTTAAACAGCTGGATGACCTTGAACACAGCTGGAGTTGGATTTCCCCGGACATCCTCATAGAAGTCTCGGGAGGCGATTGGCCGTAAATTTTTAAATATTTTTAAAAAATTAAAATTTTTATTGCGATTTCCAAACCCCCCGACTTAATTAAACTTACATATAATAAAATCTATTAATTAAAAAAATTAAAAAACTATCAGAGGTCGTTTTTGACATCAGAAACTAGCTCTAAATAATTTTACCGAAGGAAAATCCGTGCATTACAACTTTATAACGATTAATTAAATTTGATTTAATTAATATACTTGGAATGTAATTAAGTATAATAATAATAATGATCTAAAACAATTAAGCTTTCCTCACGATATAAATAGGAAATACTTTCCCGTTATTGGAAAAAGAGGAAAGTCGCACATAACGAAGCTTCTTCACTTCTAAAATGGAATACATACAACAACTTCCATCGGGTCCATTGGACGAATATAGAAATAAGGCAACGTTCGACTGGAGAAAAATGAAAGTATTAATGGAAGGAGAGGATTTCCTACGTGTAAAAGTAAGGCATTTAAAAAAAATTGACAAAGATACTCGAAAACCAGTCCTAAGTTACTGTTATCGATAGAAACAGCGAGTGAAATTACACGTAAATTTTTGAAACTTTTATGGAATTTCTTACTCTTTTAGATGCGGGAAACTGTAATGTAATTCCTGAAATTAATTTAATTAATTAAAATATCGCGTCTCGAGATAATTTCTAATTGTTCTTTCACTCGTTACTGACTATAAAGCTCGACATCATTAACACTGGCGTCTAAGTACAGAACGATTCCGAGCCGTAGTTCTGTATTTTACCACGAGATGTGGCTAATTCGTGACGTCAAGAGGCTGACAAGCGTAATTCTTGGTGTAAATACACCAGAGTCAGAATTAATTTATTACGAACAAAATTCGCTACCGATCATTCGTTGAACGTCAAATTTGTCTTTTGTCTAATGTTCAATTTTATATTATAAGCTCATTATTGTTCATTATTTTTATCAAAACATTTAAAATTATACACTATAACTTTTATAAAAGTTATTCTACAGAATACGTAGACTTTCGTTCTTAAATTCTTTTAATCTCAAGATTTCCCTGCTGAATTTTCAATCTCTTACTCGAAATTTTTTTTTTTTGTGCTATTTAATAAAATTATTCATCGCTTTTTAGAAGTAATTTAACCGTTTTATATTAGAAAATTTACAATATATTATTTTACAATGAACGTTTAACTTGGAAATGTTCCACAAAACCAAACTCAATTTTCTGCGTAGGCATCCTTATTTGGTTTTCACCAGATTTTAAAAAACCCAACCCTAGCGAATACCAAGAGTTAAGTGCATCTTGTATAATTCGAGTGATAGTTTAAATCCATCGTCAGTAAAATATTAGTGAACTTTTTGTAGCCCGATTTAACACATCCGCAATGATTTATTCGAACGTTTGTTTTAAAAAAATGCTATTCGTAAGAAAGATGTTTTCTTTACGAAATAGATTTATTGAAAATTATACATTTGCAACATTTTCATACGCACAATCTGTTATCGAATGTTTTCCTTTTGTAAGTACATTTCTGAATCGAGCGTAGTCGCCATCCCGTGTGCCAGAGCCGCAAGAGTAGAATTTATAAATTCCATGAATTTTTAGACAGTTAACTTTAGTTGGTTCTCCACTTATCTGTGGCTTTCCATTGGTAGAAATCTGTCAAATACAGCGCGTAATATTTTTATTTATGACCGAATGAGCTGTTAATATTCACGAAAACAATTATTTTAAGATATATTAATTAAATACAGCGCTTTTAAAATTTCGGAAGAGAATTTACTTACCCTTCATAGTTTTGAATTGCAGTTTCTCGATTTCGCAGGCAAATCCGTGTACAGGTACAGCACTTTCTCCAAATGTTCGCGTAATCGAACGAAAGTAGAATATAGACTTTTCCTCCACCGGCATTTGCTTATCTTCTAAACCTACACGCTTGTTAGTAAGATTTCCTTTTGAGGAGAAGCGCTTATCGCCATAACAACGAGTATTTTCTAATATATCCGACGCAATATTTTCCGTAACGATTTCTTAGCCACGTAGCGGGAATACTTCGCAACCAATTATCGATGATAAAGTGTTGTTTTAAAGCCGAAATATCGACAAAAAATTCCAAGCACACCTTACAGTACTACGTATACGCTATATGAACCTCGCGACACTAGCGACATCTCGTGGTAAAAACTAGAACTACGACTCGGAATCGTTGTGTAATTAGACGCCAGTAATAAGATGATGATTGTTTATTCTTTACTACGAGCCACGCATTTTTATGTATTCTAAGAAATTATATGTAAAATAAATTTGCTCACGGGTTTGATGTCTTTTAATAACAATAATAATAGGTTAGTGGCATTACGTAATTCTATTAATAGTATCATACCATACGTTTTTGAGGGAAATAACATTTTGGTGTGCTGTATTCAGTCATGGATGTGCCGTAAGTAGAAAAAGGTTGCGGAACACTGATATAGATGTAGAAATCCCCCCCCCCCCGCGGGGAGAAGGACAGGATTAAGGCTTACCGTGAAAAACTCGGCTTTTATTATACTATTCTAGATGCGATTTTTTGCGTTTTTGATTGAGTTTTAATAAGGTATATCAAGAGAATGTACACTAAGAAGGGATTTTTCGAAATTTCCTCCGCGGGGGAAGTGCTAACAATGGAAGTCTTAAGAGAAAGCGACGTGCAAGATTTACAGGCGCAGGTGCGGTTTTTTGCGTTTTTCCGGAAAATCGAACATATTTTTAGACCCATGTAAAAATTTTATAATTAGTTGGAAACATAAGAACCTAATTCTTGCATTCTGTGAAAACGGGTAAGACTGCCTATAATGTAATAATCTTAATCGTCGCTATCGTTGCTTTTTGTCCCAGCAACGCAGGGCTTATGTGATACTTCATGAATAAAAGCAATAAAACACGCGCATTCATAATGTTATTCAGACAATAACATTGAGAAAGGAGGATAAAAAATATTCTTCGGTATTTATCTCCCACAAACACTCAACCAACAAGATACTCTACAAGAATATATTTTCAAAAATATGCCAGTTAAATTCGCAACTTTGGCCTCTGATTTATGGAATATACCCATTTGTGGGCGAGCTTTCTGGGTGCGCAGGATGCAGTTGCACCCTTTTCTGACGAATTTTCCTTTTTGCACTGCTTTCTGAACCCCTTCTAAGGAATATTTCCTTTCTGCACCCCTCTAAAGATTTCTGGATTGCCTATTGATATTTCTGCATATTAGTGTTTAAAATTAACGTATCAAATACTTACTGTTGTATTATTTGCTTTCAGCACGAACTATGCAAAATAATGGAATCCAACCCATTATACGAGCACGGTAGAGAGGAAGATTCTTTACCAAATTACAGAACGATTACTATTGAACGATGCAGACATATCTTAAGTATAGTTTTTGATAAATACAAAGATAATCCATTAGCAAAAGTCTATATAAATTTGTTCTTCACAATGTACGATGCGTCTCTGAGTGTGAAATTATCAATGGGATATTTGGTAATTATGCATATGTTATTAATCAATAAATTAACATAAATCTGATGTTTCGTATTTGCTTTAGATGTTTCATGCTATAATTGCATCCCTCGGAACAAAAAGGCATCGTTCCCTTGTCAAACAAGCAGAAAAACTCGAGGTAAGTTTAAAAAATGTTTCCATGGACATAGACAATGATTAATTTGCATATCTTCAGATTTCAGGATGCTTTGCATTAACTGAACTAAGCCACGGATCTGATAGCAAAAGAATAGAAACAACAGCTATGTACGATGCTAATACTCAGGTTAATCACGCAATTAATTTAAAAAATATGAAAATAATTATAAAATGTACTAATCCCCAGAAAAATATTTTAGGAATTTATATTGCATACTCCAAGGATCGAAAGTATTAAAGTTTGGATAGGTAACTTGGGGCAGACAGCCACACACGCTTTAGTCTTCGCTCGACTTTATACGCCAGATGAAGTATGCCACGGCCTTCATGTTTTTGTGGTTCCTATCAGAGACCCGAAGACTATGCTACCTTATCCGGGAGTACACGTTGGAGATATGGGTTATAAGATTGGACTTAATGGATTGGATAATGGGTGCAAAGATTATTTTATTTATGTTATAATTTATATATGTTATTGCATGTAGTTCATATAATTTTTTTGTTTTTTAGATTTGTTTCATTTCATCGATATAGAATACCACGTGAAAATCTGCTAAATCGGTTTGCGGATGTCAGTCCCGAAGGAAATTATCTATCTTCTTCTAAGGCAAATGAACAATAATTAGTACAGTAAACAGTAATTATAATAAAGATAAATATTTACTGAAAATACTTTATAAAAGAATTAAATTAAAACTATACTTACAATTACACGTGGCTGGAAGGCAATGCACGCAACAGAAGAAGAGGAAGCGTGGTATGCTTTTAAAGTTGCTGTTATGAAGTTTCTTGGTAATAAGTATCTAAATTATACAAATGTCAACAAGATACTAAATGCATTCAAGAATCTCGGATACAGGTTTGAAGGTTGGTTAGTTGGTTAGAGTTTATTGGCGCAAGGGCCACACAGGCCAAGCTGCGCCATGTCAAACCAGTATAATTGAATAATCTAATAAATAAATATATATATAATGTACAATAAAAAATGACAAAAAGTCAATAACGAAAATATATAACAGCACAAATGTATATAATAACAAGATGTATAATATATAAATAAAAAATAAATAATTAAATCTGTAATGCTGTCTACGAATCCTCTCAGAGGCAATGCAGTTGCATAGTATGTACTTAACACTTACAGTACAGTTACAATATGGGAATACTGGCTGGTCATCACCCTTCAAAAGGTATTGATGAGTCAATGGAGTATGTCCAATTCTCAAACGAGTAAAGATAACCTCAGACCTCCTTTCATACACTGCGTTATGTGTCCAATTTTCTATCAGTGGTTTGATCTCGTGTAGTTTATTGTGGACTTGTGCATTCCACCTGCTTTGCCATCTCTCCGAAAGTCGTTTTTTAACAACCAGATTTAAGTCACCTCCTTCACCTGGGACCCAACAGAATTTTAGAGAGAAATTACTCGCAAAAAGATGGCAAATTAGTTTCCGAATTTTAATCACTATGGAGTGAGAACTAGGTTCACACGAGATCAACGCCTAAAGTGCACTAATTAACTGGGTCAGTGTAAACCACGCAGCAACGATGATCTTTTCTGGTTACATATTTTAAGGCTAAATAAATAGCTTGCAGCTATGCAGTAAAAATGGAAAAATTCAGTGCGATTTGTTCTGTCACGATTTCATCCCGGCAGGCAAAGGCTGAGCCAACGTAATCATCTGATTCAGATCTATATATGAATTAAATTCCTGTCACGATGTTGAATTTTTGCAAAGTGCTGTCTGTAAACGTAATCTGGAATAAATACCTCAGGAAACTGTTTTAAGCTAAGGTTGACATTTATCACAGGAGTTGACCAAGGTGATATACTATCAACCTCAGATTGTGAGATGTTGCCTATGTCCAGGTCAAGCGTTTTGCTTACATTCTCCATTCTTATGACACATGCAGGAACACTACTTTTTATTTTAACTTTTTCCGCCCTGTGGCCACTAAGAGGGCCTCTTCTTGCAAGCCCATTATGGGTTCGGCCAAGCCCACAATGGGGCTGCCAGGTGGTGAGGGGCGGAGCCTGACATATCCAAACGGACCACCCCACCGAAAAACTCCTGAGGATTTTTCGACCCGTTTGGATTCGAGCCCGGGTCCCCCAGAGCAGTAGGTTGCCACCTTGACCGCTTGGCAAACTAGCCGCTGAGGGACACTACTTGGGCGAGCTGCAAATAACCTAACCTTTTCAGCTGAGATACTCAGCTGATACTGTACAATCAACTGAAGGTTTAGTCTGAGATTTCGTTTTAATGTGGTAAAAGAGTGACAACTGTTCTCTCCTGAGAGATAGTGGTGGCTCATAAGCATCCACATACAGGCTTTGAACAGGAGAAGTTCGAAATGCACAAACGCAATGCTTGATGGCAAATTGGATCCAGCATTCGCAGAGTAGATTCGCGTGCAGAACCCTACACAATGCATTCATAATATAGCTTTGAGTGGACAAGGGCCCTATAAATCCTGAGCATAGAACATTTGTCTGCTCCCCAGGATGAGCAGCATAGTACCTTTAAAAAGTTCAGAGACTTCAGACATGTACTCTTCAAATTGTGCAAGTGTGGCAAAAAGGTCAATTTCTGGTCAAACACAAAACCCAAAAACTTAGCTTCCTTGACCATTGGGATTTTAACCCCATTTAGGTGAATTTCAGGATCCAGATGCAAACCACGCCTTCGGTAAAAGTGGATGCATGAGGTCTTCGTGCTAAAACTTAAACCATTGGTCTTGGACCAATCGAGTGTACGATTTACAGAGGTTTGCAGTTGTTTCTCAATAAGACTCATGTTACGAGACTGGCAGGAGGTCTGGAAGTCATCCACATACAGAGTATGTTTGACACTAGGTGGGAGACAGTTTGCTATGCTGTTAATTTCAATTAGGAACAGATTTACTCTCAAAATAGAACCTTGAGGAACACCTTCTTCTTGGTGAAAGGCCTAGATAAAGTGATGCCCATCCTAACTTGGAATCTTCGATTCTGCAGAAAGTTTTTTTTGTAAAAATTGGTAAATTACCCCACAATCCGAATTGTTGCAGATCACGGAGTATCCCATATCGCCAGCAGCGATCATAGGCTTTCTCTATATCGAAAAACACAGACACTAAGTGCTGTCATCTAACAAACGCTTCGCGTATAGATGTTTCAAGGTTTATTAAATTATCCGTGGTACTTTTGTTTCTACGAAATCCACTTTGATGTAATGAAAAGTAATCCTTTTCCCCTAAGAGAAAAATCAGATGTCTGTTTACCATTCTCTCAAACAGTTTACAGTGACAACTTGTCAGAGAGATTGGTCTGTAATTACAGGTATTCTTGCGATCTTTGTCTGGTTTAGGGATGGGAATAATGATAGATAACCTCCAAGAGTTGGGAAAAGTATGTTCTGTTCATATTCTGTTAAACAGATTCAGAAGGTTACTAAGGGAATTGTCAGAAAGATTTTTAATCATGTTGTAGTGGATTTTATCTGGAACCTACAGCAGTATTCTCCAATCAAGAGATCGCTGTATGTAGTTCTGTGCTGTTGAATGGCACATTATATTCCTCTTTAGTTGAGGAATGAAAGTTTAAATATTTTTTTTCACTTTGGGCTTTATAAGCCTGAAAATTCCTTGTATACATTATATTGCTGTATAAAGAGGAAAACGCTTCACCCAACAAATCAGCAATACCCTGTATGTCACTGATTATTGTGCCATTATTTTTCAGCATGGACAGAAACTGAAAAGCATATTTCCCATTAATTTTATGAATTTTATCCCAGACTGCTTTTGAGCTGGAAGAAGATGTTATGCTAGAAACATACTTCCTCCAAGAATCTCTTTGGTTTGTCTCCTTAATCTTCTAGCATTTGCCTTTGGTTTTTGAAAAGCAATCAAATTGCTATTTTCTGAAAATGTTACATGCTTTCTTTTGTTGTTTGTATGCTGGCTCGCAATTTTGGTTCCACCATGATTTCGAATGTTTTGGATATGTGGTTGATGTTTTCCCCTTCGTTTTTTCAGCTGTCTGAATGATATTGGAAGTGACAGCTTTAACTGCACCATTAATATCAGGAATATTGACCATTTCCTCAGAGATGTTGGCAACCTCATATGTCTTTGTAGATTTCAACACAGCAGCAAATGTCTTTTGTTTCAATGGTGCCCTTGGAGTGACCATGCGACAAGACTCTGGATATGGTATGTTGTTCACAGTTTTTACCCGTTGAATTTCTTTTTCTCTTTGCCATGCAGAGCATTTCCGGGAGTAGGCAGGATGGATATCTTTGCAGTTCATACAGCATGGAATACTTTTATATTTGGTATTGTCGTGACCTTCAGTTCCACACTGTGCACATAAGCTTTTGCCTCGGCAGGATGTTTGTGAATGTCCAAACCGCTGGTATTTAAAGCAACTCAGAGGATTTGGAATATATGGACGAACTGGGCAGCGCAGGTATCCTGCTGTAACGAAGGATGGCAATGTCGGCTTGTCGAACGTGAGAATTAGATGTTTAGTGGTATTAACTTGCGGTCTCGACAAATGGAGATGCGTCGGACAGTAGCAACACTTTAATCTGAAAGACCAATCTGAATAGCTGATTTGTCTTTAGACATCAGGTCGATCTTAGATATCACACCACGTGATGAGTTTAAACTTCCGTGTGATGTGACTGAAACTTACATATCTCAAGAGTTTTCATTGCCAAAAGCTTTGTTGTTTGTTGAGGAGAGGCTGTTTCTACCAGTAGGTCCCCTGACCTCGATTTTTGGAATTTTTTTCAAATGCCCGATGGTCGATTCAAATAATTTTTTAATCAGGAAAAGAGAAGACTTAGACAAGGTCTTTTTTCTCCAGTTGCATGCACTACTAAGTACATTGATTGACTGGAGATCTTTTCACTTATCGTTGTTGTTGTTGACACGCCAAGATGTTTTACATTTTTGGAATCCATGATTAAAAGTTAATTATTCAGCTCCCAGTGACACCACCCTCCATGGGGTCCAACAAGGGGATGACAACATCACATGGATAACTCCCATAGACCATGAAACCAGGGTTTCCCAGGAGCTATACCAGACATGGCCCACATACGTCCCGCGGGCCGGATCCGGCCCGTCTAATGAATTTATGCGGCCCGCGATCAATCTTTCAATATTAGGTACTGAAGTCCGAATAGCTCGATGAAAAATCCTGATGTCTAAAAAAAAAAGTCAACAACTCACTGTGCGTTTAGAGTTAACCCTCCACTACAAATCTCGTAAGTACAGCGTAGAGTGTTGATAAAGCATGATAATGTAAAAAATGTACCAGTAATCTCTATCTACAATTCAGTCTCTACGAGGTGACACCACAATGAGATTTTGCAGCAGCTCAAAATCTTCCTAGGGCAGCCTTGGTTTGGCCCGTGGAAAAAGTTCTCTTTCCAATTCGGCCCGGGGGCAAAAACTGTTGGCCACCCCTGAACTATACCCTTACAATGCAGTCAAGAAGAGCACATCTTGTCTGATCTGTCTGCCCGGTCTGCATTGATCAGTTAACTCCAGGCCGAGGTCAAGAATGACTCAGCGACCAGCCGATTGATACAAATGGAGCCTGATTTGAGCCTCCCGTTTATTTGAAGCAGGGGCCAAAATGTGTTGGGGACGTTATGTTGCCCCTCAACTACCAGGATTCCCCTTTTCGGCATACGGGACACCACGCATGGCAAACATGTGGGTGGGCGTTCAGATCCCAGGAATGGTAAAGAAGAGTTACTAAACGATGTGGATTCCTGTCCGTGGTGAGGGACCCACATCGAGGGGTACAGGTTTTAAACGTCATTTCTTACATCTCATGTAAGAATCTGCTAAATCGGTTATTTTCTTAGAATCTTTGATTGAACAAAAATAATTCCATCGATATTCAAAGGAACTTGACACGATATCAAAGAAAATGGGACATCAACGTGCTCTCCTGTCTTATTACTATCGGTGTTCTTCGTAGGGATTTTCCTCTCAGTGACCGAGTTGATAAAACCACTGAACATTAGTAGTTGGTTGTGGGTTCACACCTAGCCACATGAAGTATTCCTGATTTTCTTCATGCTAGCAACACCTAAATAGGTTTCCTATAAAAGGCCTTCCGGGAGGCATTCCCTCAGCAGATCGCCTATGTGTCACGTTATTGTATACAAATGAAACCAAATCGTAAACCCTTTCTGCAGGGCACCCGCCATTCTGAAACTTATATTTTTAAATTGAACATTAATAAAAATACCTTATACATTATAAAACTGTACAAGTTTGCTTATTACAATTTCTCTATGTTTACACATCTCATCACAGGACATCCAACTGATAGTTCAAATTCTTCCTACCCTCACTATGGCTATCTGTTGTTACTTCCACAACCACAATTTGTATTAAACGTATATTAATATAATTATATTTTTAAAATAATTACATATTGTAATTTTTCAGAATAAGAAAACCGAAATGGGTGAATTATTTGGATCGATATCCTTTGGCAGAGTTTTCATCTCTCAGATGTGTACGAAAAATTTACAAAAGTGCATGGCTATTTCCATCAGATTTTCGGCTGTCAGGAAGCAATTTGGACCGTCTCAAGAAACATCGCTTCTAGAATATCAAAGTCAGGTACATTTCGTTAATTATTAGTAGAAAACGAGTATATTTACATTATGATAATGAATACAGAACTGAATTTTGTGCAAGTACAGAGCCGTACCGGCATATAATTAGGTACCTTACGAAGCCACCATTAAGAGAGATAATGGCCTCTGCGTGCTAGAGCAGTGAACAAAAGAAGTTCTGAGCTTGCTGTTGGGAATGTCCTGTCAGGCTGCTTCTAAAGTGATCACACCATGCGATTTCCAGCCGCGCAGGCAACTGCAACTGCGACGGCTGTTCTCATTAACTAGTAAACCCCCTGCGAAAACCGCCGTGACAGCAACCACAACTAGAAACAAAAAGTTTGTTCTACTCGTGCCTGTTGTAAACGCGCACCCAATCAGCAAACGCCTATTTGCACATCATAGGGTAGCAACATTGAAAATACTGTAGTTAGAAAATAATGGCGGAAAGCAAGATGATGGATAGTTTAACAGAATCAAGATTAATCCAGCTAATTCAGTCTCACTAATGCCTGTGGGATTTTAATTATTCGTTTTATCGAAGAAAGGATAAAAGAGTGCAGGCATGGTGTGAGATAATAGAAAGTCTGCGCATTGATTGTAAGTACAACTTTTAGATTTCTGGATATAAAATGTTGATTGTTTTTAGTTTGGTAACGACAATATTGTTTTAAATATAGCTAAAGTCACGAAAAAAGTCTAAAACAAGCTACTGTAATTTTATTGGTTTACTAGCGTACTCGTCGCGCATTGCTGCGATCTCAGAAGAAAGGAAATTCAAGCAAACTCATTATGATAAAATTCAATTTACATTTTATCATTTTTATTGAAACTTATTATTATTATTATTCATTTTCATGCGGAAAACATTTCAAAGTGTCGTTTCAATTCTATTTATTTATTGGAGCGCTTGTGGATACGCGATATTTTTGTTTTTCCGTCTGGTACGTATACAAATAGGGGAGATCGGGGCAACTTCGGCATGCGGGGCAAGTTTGTCAAGCGCTTTTTTTAAAAAAACAAATTAAAAGGAGACTTTGGTTATAGGTTAGGCAGTTGAGTTTTATTGGTGGCTTGTTGAGTGTAGTGTTTTTATTGTTCTCCAACAAGCGTAGTTGAATTATCAAGCAAATTTTCATTTTCGTTCAATTCNGTTGCCCCACTTTAACTGCCAGATTTTCTCTTGTAGTCGGATGTAACTGTCAATAGGTGCCTTCCTCGCAAGGATTTGAAGAGAAGGGTTTGGGGTTGTGGAGTAAGCTTTGGTAATATGCATTAAGGCAGTTCTTTGTGCAGCAATAAGTTTGCGCTTGATGTGCACCTTGCGGACAGCCCACCCCCAGCTGCTGCAGGCATATGTGATGATTAGGACAAAAATCTGGTTGTATATGGTATCCATGGCTTCCGAGTTCAATCCCCAACGTTGCCTTGCGATGACAGCAAAGGTATGAAAAATCCTGCCAGTCCGTGAGGTGATACACTCAGTATGGGCATTCCACAGCAGCCTGTGATCCAGAACCACATCCAAGTACTTAATGTTCTTATCTACAGGAATTGTTTGTCCAGCCATTTTAATTGTGGGAACACGCAAATAGAGATTTCTGTTTCCGGGTTTATTGAACACAACGCACTTGGTTTTTCGGGCATTAAATTCTAGTTTGTATTCTTTCCCCCATTTTAGTATTTTGTCCAGAACATTATTGCCATTCTTTTCTAAGGCTGCTCTAGAGCTGCCCCCAAGAAGGACCAGGGCATCGTCGGCATAGGCCACAGTGCCATGCTGTCCAAAGTCCTGAACAAGAAAGTCATTAAAAATCACATTCCAAAGAATCGGTCCGCAAACGGAACCCTGAGGGCAGCCGCGGACGAGTTTCCGTCGAATGATGTGTCCTCCACATTGAAGAGTAGCCGTTCTGTCTTTTAAATAATCACGTAGTAGATTATATATATTTGCCGGGCAGTTCATATTTCTGAGGTTTTGAAGGATCATTGGCCACCAGGCACTGTCAAACGCCTTGACGATGTCCAGGCTGATGGCCAGAACATAATTATAATCTTCAAGAAGATGGTTTACCGAGTTGACAGCTTTATTGATGGCATCAGCAGTTGACCTCTGTGGCCGAAAGCCAAACTGAGAGTCATGGAGAATGTTATTGGACTCTAGGTGCCACATTAACCTATTGTTTACCAGCTTTTCAAGGATTTTGCCAAGAACTGGCAAGAGAGAGATAGGCCTGCTTTCAGAAGTGTTCCCAGGCTTGGGAACAGGGACGATCCTGGCTAGTTTCCAGGTCTGAGGAAAGATGCCATGCCTGAGGCAGGCATTGTAAAGCTGGGAGAGCTGCAAAGGAATAAGACTCCAGAGGATTTTTGCCAATTCTGGAGTGATGTTGTCATGACCCGGTGATTTCTTGTTANTATAATATATAAATAAAAAATAAATAATTAAATCTGTAATGCTGTCTACGAATCCTCTCAGAGGCAATGCAGTTGCATAGTATGTACTTAACACTTACAGTACAGTTACAATATGGGAATACTGGCTGGTCATCACCCTTCAAAAGGTATTGATGAGTCAATGGAGTATGTCCAATTCTCAAACGAGTAAAGATAACCTCAGACCTCCTTTCATACACTGCGTTATGTGTCCAATTTTCTATCAGTGGTTTGATCTCGTGTAGTTTATTGTGGACTTGTGCATTCCACCTGCTTTGCCATCTCTCCGAAAGTCGTTTTTTAACAACCAGATTTAAGTCACCTCCTTCACCTGGGACCCAACAGAATTTTAGAGAGAAATTACTCGCAAAAAGATGGCAAATTAGTTTCCGAATTTTAATCACTATGGAGTGAGAACTAGGTTCACACGAGATCAACGCCTAAAGTGCACTAATTAACTGGGTCAGTGTAAACCACGCAGCAACGATGATCTTTTCTGGTTACATATTTTAAGGCTAAATAAATAGCTTGCAGCTATGCAGTAAAAATGGAAAAATTCAGTGCGATTTGTTCTGTCACGATTTCATCCCGGCAGGCAAAGGCTGAGCCAACGTAATCATCTGATTCAGATCTATATATGAATTAAATTCCTGTCACGATGTTGAATTTTTGCAAAGTGCTGTCTGTAAACGTAATCTGGAATAAATACCTCAGGAAACTGTTTTAAGCTAAGGTTGACATTTATCACAGGAGTTGACCAAGGTGATATACTATCAACCTCAGATTGTGAGATGTTGCCTATGTCCAGGTCAAGCGTTTTGCTTACATTCTCCATTCTTATGACACATGCAGGAACACTACTTTTTATTTTAACTTTTTCCGCCCTGTGGCCACTAAGAGGGCCTCTTCTTGCAAGCCCATTATGGGTTCGGCCAAGCCCACAATGGGGCTGCCAGGTGGTGAGGGGCGGAGCCTGACATATCCAAACGGACCACCCCACCGAAAAACTCCTGAGGATTTTTCGACCCGTTTGGATTCGAGCCCGGGTCCCCCAGAGCAGTAGGTTGCCACCTTGACCGCTTGGCAAACTAGCCGCTGAGGGACACTACTTGGGCGAGCTGCAAATAACCTAACCTTTTCAGCTGAGATACTCAGCTGATACTGTACAATCAACTGAAGGTTTAGTCTGAGATTTCGTTTTAATGTGGTAAAAGAGTGACAACTGTTCTCTCCTGAGAGATAGTGGTGGCTCATAAGCATCCACATACAGGCTTTGAACAGGAGAAGTTCGAAATGCACAAACGCAATGCTTGATGGCAAATTGGATCCAGCATTCGCAGAGTAGATTCGCGTGCAGAACCCTACACAATGCATTCATAATATAGCTTTGAGTGGACAAGGGCCCTATAAATCCTGAGCATAGAACATTTGTCTGCTCCCCAGGATGAGCAGCATAGTACCTTTAAAAAGTTCAGAGACTTCAGACATGTACTCTTCAAATTGTGCAAGTGTGGCAAAAAGGTCAATTTCTGGTCAAACACAAAACCCAAAAACTTAGCTTCCTTGACCATTGGGATTTTAACCCCATTTAGGTGAATTTCAGGATCCAGATGCAAACCACGCCTTCGGTAAAAGTGGATGCATGAGGTCTTCGTGCTAAAACTTAAACCATTGGTCTTGGACCAATCGAGTGTACGATTTACAGAGGTTTGCAGTTGTTTCTCAATAAGACTCATGTTACGAGACTGGCAGGAGGTCTGGAAGTCATCCACATACAGAGTATGTTTGACACTAGGTGGGAGACAGTTTGCTATGCTGTTAATTTCAATTAGGAACAGATTTACTCTCAAAATAGAACCTTGAGGAACACCTTCTTCTTGGTGAAAGGCCTAGATAAAGTGATGCCCATCCTAACTTGGAATCTTCGATTCTGCAGAAAGTTTTTTTTGTAAAAATTGGTAAATTACCCCACAATCCGAATTGTTGCAGATCACGGAGTATCCCATATCGCCAGCAGCGATCATAGGCTTTCTCTATATCGAAAAACACAGACACTAAGTGCTGTCATCTAACAAACGCTTCGCGTATAGATGTTTCAAGGTTTATTAAATTATCCGTGGTACTTTTGTTTCTACGAAATCCACTTTGATGTAATGAAAAGTAATCCTTTTCCCCTAAGAGAAAAATCAGATGTCTGTTTACCATTCTCTCAAACAGTTTACAGTGACAACTTGTCAGAGAGATTGGTCTGTAATTACAGGTATTCTTGCGATCTTTGTCTGGTTTAGGGATGGGAATAATGATAGATAACCTCCAAGAGTTGGGAAAAGTATGTTCTGTTCATATTCTGTTAAACAGATTCAGAAGGTTACTAAGGGAATTGTCAGAAAGATTTTTAATCATGTTGTAGTGGATTTTATCTGGAACCTACAGCAGTATTCTCCAATCAAGAGATCGCTGTATGTAGTTCTGTGCTGTTGAATGGCACATTATATTCCTCTTTAGTTGAGGAATGAAAGTTTAAATATTTTTTTTCACTTTGGGCTTTATAAGCCTGAAAATTCCTTGTATACATTATATTGCTGTATAAAGAGGAAAACGCTTCACCCAACAAATCAGCAATACCCTGTATGTCACTGATTATTGTGCCATTATTTTTCAGCATGGACAGAAACTGAAAAGCATATTTCCCATTAATTTTATGAATTTTATCCCAGACTGCTTTTGAGCTGGAAGAAGATGTTATGCTAGAAACATACTTCCTCCAAGAATCTCTTTGGTTTGTCTCCTTAATCTTCTAGCATTTGCCTTTGGTTTTTGAAAAGCAATCAAATTGCTATTTTCTGAAAATGTTACATGCTTTCTTTTGTTGTTTGTATGCTGGCTCGCAATTTTGGTTCCACCATGATTTCGAATGTTTTGGATATGTGGTTGATGTTTTCCCCTTCGTTTTTTCAGCTGTCTGAATGATATTGGAAGTGACAGCTTTAACTGCACCATTAATATCAGGAATATTGACCATTTCCTCAGAGATGTTGGCAACCTCATATGTCTTTGTAGATTTCAACACAGCAGCAAATGTCTTTTGTTTCAATGGTGCCCTTGGAGTGACCATGCGACAAGACTCTGGATATGGTATGTTGTTCACAGTTTTTACCCGTTGAATTTCTTTTTCTCTTTGCCATGCAGAGCATTTCCGGGAGTAGGCAGGATGGATATCTTTGCAGTTCATACAGCATGGAATACTTTTATATTTGGTATTGTCGTGACCTTCAGTTCCACACTGTGCACATAAGCTTTTGCCTCGGCAGGATGTTTGTGAATGTCCAAACCGCTGGTATTTAAAGCAACTCAGAGGATTTGGAATATATGGACGAACTGGGCAGCGCAGGTATCCTGCTGTAACGAAGGATGGCAATGTCGGCTTGTCGAACGTGAGAATTAGATGTTTAGTGGTATTAACTTGCGGTCTCGACAAATGGAGATGCGTCGGACAGTAGCAACACTTTAATCTGAAAGACCAATCTGAATAGCTGATTTGTCTTTAGACATCAGGTCGATCTTAGATATCACACCACGTGATGAGTTTAAACTTCCGTGTGATGTGACTGAAACTTACATATCTCAAGAGTTTTCATTGCCAAAAGCTTTGTTGTTTGTTGAGGAGAGGCTGTTTCTACCAGTAGGTCCCCTGACCTCGATTTTTGGAATTTTTTTCAAATGCCCGATGGTCGATTCAAATAATTTTTTAATCAGGAAAAGAGAAGACTTAGACAAGGTCTTTTTTCTCCAGTTGCATGCACTACTAAGTACATTGATTGACTGGAGATCTTTTCACTTATCGTTGTTGTTGTTGACACGCCAAGATGTTTTACATTTTTGGAATCCATGATTAAAAGTTAATTATTCAGCTCCCAGTGACACCACCCTCCATGGGGTCCAACAAGGGGATGACAACATCACATGGATAACTCCCATAGACCATGAAACCAGGGTTTCCCAGGAGCTATACCAGACATGGCCCACATACGTCCCGCGGGCCGGATCCGGCCCGTCTAATGAATTTATGCGGCCCGCGATCAATCTTTCAATATTAGGTACTGAAGTCCGAATAGCTCGATGAAAAATCCTGATGTCTAAAAAAAAAAGTCAACAACTCACTGTGCGTTTAGAGTTAACCCTCCACTACAAATCTCGTAAGTACAGCGTAGAGTGTTGATAAAGCATGATAATGTAAAAAATGTACCAGTAATCTCTATCTACAATTCAGTCTCTACGAGGTGACACCACAATGAGATTTTGCAGCAGCTCAAAATCTTCCTAGGGCAGCCTTGGTTTGGCCCGTGGAAAAAGTTCTCTTTCCAATTCGGCCCGGGGGCAAAAACTGTTGGCCACCCCTGAACTATACCCTTACAATGCAGTCAAGAAGAGCACATCTTGTCTGATCTGTCTGCCCGGTCTGCATTGATCAGTTAACTCCAGGCCGAGGTCAAGAATGACTCAGCGACCAGCCGATTGATACAAATGGAGCCTGATTTGAGCCTCCCGTTTATTTGAAGCAGGGGCCAAAATGTGTTGGGGACGTTATGTTGCCCCTCAACTACCAGGATTCCCCTTTTCGGCATACGGGACACCACGCATGGCAAACATGTGGGTGGGCGTTCAGATCCCAGGAATGGTAAAGAAGAGTTACTAAACGATGTGGATTCCTGTCCGTGGTGAGGGACCCACATCGAGGGGTACAGGTTTTAAACGTCATTTCTTACATCTCATGTAAGAATCTGCTAAATCGGTTATTTTCTTAGAATCTTTGATTGAACAAAAATAATTCCATCGATATTCAAAGGAACTTGACACGATATCAAAGAAAATGGGACATCAACGTGCTCTCCTGTCTTATTACTATCGGTGTTCTTCGTAGGGATTTTCCTCTCAGTGACCGAGTTGATAAAACCACTGAACATTAGTAGTTGGTTGTGGGTTCACACCTAGCCACATGAAGTATTCCTGATTTTCTTCATGCTAGCAACACCTAAATAGGTTTCCTATAAAAGGCCTTCCGGGAGGCATTCCCTCAGCAGATCGCCTATGTGTCACGTTATTGTATACAAATGAAACCAAATCGTAAACCCTTTCTGCAGGGCACCCGCCATTCTGAAACTTATATTTTTAAATTGAACATTAATAAAAATACCTTATACATTATAAAACTGTACAAGTTTGCTTATTACAATTTCTCTATGTTTACACATCTCATCACAGGACATCCAACTGATAGTTCAAATTCTTCCTACCCTCACTATGGCTATCTGTTGTTACTTCCACAACCACAATTTGTATTAAACGTATATTAATATAATTATATTTTTAAAATAATTACATATTGTAATTTTTCAGAATAAGAAAACCGAAATGGGTGAATTATTTGGATCGATATCCTTTGGCAGAGTTTTCATCTCTCAGATGTGTACGAAAAATTTACAAAAGTGCATGGCTATTTCCATCAGATTTTCGGCTGTCAGGAAGCAATTTGGACCGTCTCAAGAAACATCGCTTCTAGAATATCAAAGTCAGGTACATTTCGTTAATTATTAGTAGAAAACGAGTATATTTACATTATGATAATGAATACAGAACTGAATTTTGTGCAAGTACAGAGCCGTACCGGCATATAATTAGGTACCTTACGAAGCCACCATTAAGAGAGATAATGGCCTCTGCGTGCTAGAGCAGTGAACAAAAGAAGTTCTGAGCTTGCTGTTGGGAATGTCCTGTCAGGCTGCTTCTAAAGTGATCACACCATGCGATTTCCAGCCGCGCAGGCAACTGCAACTGCGACGGCTGTTCTCATTAACTAGTAAACCCCCTGCGAAAACCGCCGTGACAGCAACCACAACTAGAAACAAAAAGTTTGTTCTACTCGTGCCTGTTGTAAACGCGCACCCAATCAGCAAACGCCTATTTGCACATCATAGGGTAGCAACATTGAAAATACTGTAGTTAGAAAATAATGGCGGAAAGCAAGATGATGGATAGTTTAACAGAATCAAGATTAATCCAGCTAATTCAGTCTCACTAATGCCTGTGGGATTTTAATTATTCGTTTTATCGAAGAAAGGATAAAAGAGTGCAGGCATGGTGTGAGATAATAGAAAGTCTGCGCATTGATTGTAAGTACAACTTTTAGATTTCTGGATATAAAATGTTGATTGTTTTTAGTTTGGTAACGACAATATTGTTTTAAATATAGCTAAAGTCACGAAAAAAGTCTAAAACAAGCTACTGTAATTTTATTGGTTTACTAGCGTACTCGTCGCGCATTGCTGCGATCTCAGAAGAAAGGAAATTCAAGCAAACTCATTATGATAAAATTCAATTTACATTTTATCATTTTTATTGAAACTTATTATTATTATTATTCATTTTCATGCGGAAAACATTTCAAAGTGTCGTTTCAATTCTATTTATTTATTGGAGCGCTTGTGGATACGCGATATTTTTGTTTTTCCGTCTGGTACGTATACAAATAGGGGAGATCGGGGCAACTTCGGCATGCGGGGCAAGTTTGTCAAGCGCTTTTTTTAAAAAAACAAATTAAAAGGAGACTTTGGTTATAGGTTAGGCAGTTGAGTTTTATTGGTGGCTTGTTGAGTGTAGTGTTTTTATTGTTCTCCAACAAGCGTAGTTGAATTATCAAGCAAATTTTCATTTTCGTTCAATTCCATATAATATTTTTTTTCCATTTATATTGAATTGGCAGGTTTTGTTATAATTCCATGATAACGAAAGTTACTTTTCCTGTTAGAAGGATGTAACTTCAACTT